ACCTAATCTGCATGAATACAGTGTCCCAGAGGATGTGCAATATGAAGCATTAGCAGAAGTTAGATAGGTAAACTGGCTTTTAGGGGGGCTGCAAGGAGGAAATGTGTTTCAGGCAGAGGGGAGAGAATATTTGAAGGCCTGGAGGAAAGACACAAAACAGATGTGTCTGGGGCTAGCAGAGGAGGGGTAGAGGAGATGAAGCCTGAAATAGAAGCAGGACCAAGACCGTGAAAGACTCTGTGGCCTGGTAAGCAGTTGGACTTAACCCACAGGAAGGGGGAGCCCTGAATGACAGGTAGGGTTTTTGCTTTGGGAAGATCCCTCTGGTGCAGAGACAGAGGGGCTGGATTTGAGGGATGAAGAATTGACCAGACAATTATGAGGCTGCCCTGTGGTCAGACAAGAGATGCAATTGACTTGTACTTGGCAAATGGCTGTAGGACAGAGAGAAACAGGTAGACCGAGACTTTTTGTTTAACTTTTTTTTAAATATTTTTTTTTAGGCAAGGCAACCCTTGGTTGACCTCACAGATTGCAAGGACCTTGTCGGTTTACAATCCCTTATTTTTTTATTTTTTACGCATACAGCGCCTGGTCTTCCTAGGTAGCTTCCCATCCAAGTACTAACCAGGCCCAACCCTCTTAGCTTCAGAGATCAGACTCAGACAAGAGATGCAATTGACTTGTACTTGGCAAGTGGCTGTAGGACAGAGAGAAACAGGCAGACGGAGACTTTTTGTTTAAATTTTTTTAATTTTTTTTTTTTTTAGGCAAGGCAACCCTTGGTTGACCTCACAGATTGCAAGGACCTTGTCAGTTTACAATCCCTTATTTTTTAAGCCTACAGCTCCTGGTCTTCCTAGGTGGTCTCCCATCCAAGTACTAACCAGGCCCGACCCTGCTTAGCTTCCGAGATCAGAGGAGTCGGGCTTGTTGAGGGTGGCATGGCCGGAGACAGACTAAGACTTTAAAAGGGAGAATCCCTACTAGTTAGTTGGTGGGTGGTCGGATGCGCGGGGACAGAGCAGGAAGAGCTGAGGATGAAGAACCACAGATGAGAAGGAAATAGAGGCGGGATTGAGAATGGACCCCAAAGAAGTTCAAGGCTGAAGGCCTACAGCCTGAGGCAGGGCGAGCGAAGGCCATCGGAGGAGTCCGGGCCTGGGAGTCAGGAAACGGGCCAACCACACGCGACGGTGCCGCCTTCAGAAACGCCCTTGGTCTCTTTAATTCCAATTCTCAACCTAAACTGGGGATGTTGTCCGCTGTATGTAAAAGTCCCTGGCGCGTCGTAGATGCTCGGTCAATGTTAATCGAATCAGAAATGCTGCCCTGCGTGTCCCCTCGCACGCCTGCTCTCTGGGTACTTACCGATTCTGTTCTTTCCTCTGTCAAGAGTCTGGGCCAAGTCACAGATCCCCACCCTCTCCTCAGGCTCCAGGGCTGCCCAGAGAAACCCCCCAACTTCCTGAGCCTCACTGAGCCGCCGCCTTTTAAGAGAGGAGGAGCGGGAGACTGGGAGGTGGAGCTGGCTTGGAAGCCAGGTGTCCTGGCTGCAGGACCCGCGCTCCTCGCTTGCAGCACTTGGCCTCCGGCCCAGGGAGCGGTGGCCGGCGGGGCCAGGGGACTGTGGGGTGTCGCTGCTGCTCGGCGCCTCCTCCCTCCCTGCCCCCCCCTCC